ACAATCCACTGCATAAGAGTTTATATTCATATTTTAAAGAAATTGAGCAATTAAAAGAAATAATGTAAGAACTGCAAGCCCATTTTAAAACTGTAAGGATCTTAAGTTTTACTAACGTTTATTTTCTACTTCCGGCCAGAATTAAAAGCGTTAACTTATTTATGCAAAATTTGTCTGGCGAACGCCAAGTACTTAAGTTGTGGCTTTTTGCCAAGCGAGAGAGAAGAAGGAGTTAGACGAAGCAGGCCGCTTACCTTAGAAGTTTTACGCAGTTGCTGGTTGCCTTCCAGGCCAGAGGTTTAATCCTCGTGATAATTTTAAACGTATTGTAGTGTTAACAGTTCTCTGTACTACAAACGGCTTCCTGTTAATATACGGCCAATCTTCCTTGTTTATTATTCCAGACCACAAGTAGTTGGTCTCTGTATTCCGAAGTACGGAAATTATTGTAAAGAGTGAAAAATAAAGGGTTTTGTATACCCTTCCTGGGTATCTTGCTACTTTCCACATTTATTGAACATAGCTTTAGTAAGCTCCCTGTTCCGAGTCAGGTCTGTGCATGTTCCCAAAGAAAGTAAGACGGAACATTGAACCTGATAGTGGCGCCCAACGAAGAAGAATAAACATGGCCGAGTTTCAAGAAGAACCTGTGCTGCCTGCAGAAGCGGCTCAGAATCCAGAAATGCCAGCTGCCTCCCTGGAAGGATTTGGTTACCTCGTCCAGACCATGCGCGCTTCGATGAAACCAGAAGCAACATTTAATGGAAACTCACCGGTAACCAGTTTTTTGGGAAAATTGGATGACCACTTCATGCTCTACCCCCTGCACGAGTTTCAAAAAGTTACCTGAGCTACCAGTGCTTTGAGGGGCCAAGCGCTTAACTGGTTCAAATGTATAGGCAGAAGTCTCTTGGGTCAAGCAGGAAGTCCCACCTATACTTACGAGAATTTCAAGACTGCACTAGTAAAAGCCTTCCCTGTCGTAAGGGATCGTGCGAAATTAGAAACGGAACTTTTCAGCATATATCAGCAAAGAATCGAAAATCTCTCAAGCTTTATTTTAAGAAAATTCACGTCTTCAAACTCTTGTATGGAAACCGTCCGGATCCTGAGATAATTCAAGTGATTTTGCCGAGGTTACTTCCCCAAGTGCAAGACTTTATTGAATTAAGAAATCCGACTACACTGGAACGTTATTTGAGCTAGCAATCCAGTTTGAAAGTAGAAGAACGGCGGACATTGAAAGAGGACGCCAATATCAACAACGAAACCAATTTGGTGCGTCAAGACCACAGCAAAGTCAAGCACACGGCTACGGAAGCAAAGCAAATCAGTGGGCAAGGAAACCCGAGCATTCAAAAACAGCCGGCGAACGTCGACAGTTCAATAGCAATCCAGGAAAAAAGTCTGAAGGCCAGTGGAAAAAGAAGGAAAGCATGGAAAAGAAAAATGATTTAAACTAAAACGGATTTCTGCTGACGGGAGGGTGCGGAAATCCGAAGGCCGAGAAAAACCCTCTTCCTTCAAGTTAAATACAGTAATGGTGAAAAATTTGACTCTTCCGAAGATTGAAGTGTTGGTGAATAATATCCCAGCCACCGCACTCCTGTATACAGGCGCGCAGTGTTCCTGTGTGGCAGAAGATTTTTTTAGGAAGTATTTTCGTAAATATCGCATATATAATTCGGATAATACGACAGTGTTTAGCTGCGCAAGGACAAAGATGTAAGTGCATAGGTAAATTACCGCTATACATCCGTATCAAGGACGAACAAGTAAAGGTTATGTTTTTCATAGTAAAGAATCTGCAAGCACATATTATCTTAGGAATAGATTTTCTTTCAGAGGCACAAGCAACGCTGGATTTTAATGAAGCGTCCCTTAAGCTGACGATGAAACCAGTTCGAGAAGAAAAGGCTGAACCGCCGATGTTAAACCTTGACCACCTGCCTAATGAAGAGCAACGAAGAATCCGACAAGTGGTAAGTGAATTTGCTTCGTTATTTAGTGATATTCCAGGATTTACTCAGGTTACTAACCATAGTATTGACACCGGAGATTCAATGCCAGTTCGCCACAAAGCATACTTGTATGATAAGAATAAGGAAAAAATTATAGAATGGCATATCACCGATATGCTACGTAAAATAATCATAACGCCCATCTCAAATATTTGCTAGCTAGCCCGGTGGTTTTATGTAAGAAAAATAATGACTATCCATTGACACATCCAAAAAGGTGGCGATTCGCGATTGACTACCGTAAATTAAACTCCATAACTAAATATCCGGTATATCCGTTACCTATTATTGAAGAAATTCTAAGGAACATAAAATCGACCAAATACATGACGACTTTAGACTTAACGACTGGTTATTTTCAAATAGGGGTAGGCCGGAGGACGTGCCTAAGACTGCTTTTATAACCAAGTCTGGCACTAATGCATTCCTACGTATGCCGTTTGGCCTTTCAGGGGCACCGGCAACAGTTCAGCGATGTATGGACATTGTGTTAAGGTCTCTTCTTGGAAAGTCCACATTTATCTATTTAGACGATATCATTATTACTAGTGATAATCTCGACCAACATGTACAGGATTTAAGACAGGTGTTTTCTTTATTAAATGAGGCCGGTCTAAAAGTTAATGTCGAAAAGTGCAAATTTGCAGCCCCTGAATTAAAATATTTAGGTTACAAAATATCTCAGAAAGGAATCGAGACAGACGAATCAAAAATAATTGCTGTACAAAAGTATCCGACTCCAAACACGGCGAAGAAGCTCTCTTCTTTGCATAGCTTTAGTAAGCTCCCTGTTCCGAGTCAGGTCTGAGCATGTTCCCAAAGAAAGTAAGACGGAACATTGAACCTGATAAAACGAACTTTGATTTTGGATTACTGTTGGTTTTAGTAAAATAAGCTCAATAAATTTTAACAATTAAATTGATATTCTGTTGTTATCCTGAGGAATTATTATTAGGTAGGAAAGCAATACTCCTTATCGGAAGCAAGTGTATTGAATATGCTTAGTCTCGAAGTTGACAACATGCAATAGCTTCGTGAAATACATTTCGCGTTTTCGCAGACGAATTTAATGTTCCAAACTTTGATTTTTTTATATAATTAATGAATTAATTGATGGTTACATGGAAAATGGATTTTTATGTTTCGATCTAGCTACAAACAAGCAAACTAGTGTTTAAAAAACTCTCAGCAAAAAACTTGGTACTTTCATATTAACTGCGTGTCAAATATCAGTTAAGTTTTTCTTCGGGTGGAAAATGTTTAGCAATTCCCATTTGGATCGCATCAAAAATATGATAATGATTTGAAAATGGTTTTCCTCCACATAATTCTGCGAGGTAAGATTCGATGTAATACAATATGTTCCTAGATGTCTTATAGTTCGTTATTTTGCACTTCCTCAGATGTGTTTTATACTCTGCGTACGCTGATGCTAGTTTCATGATCAATGAAATTGAATTTGTAGTTCATTTTAAAAGAAATTTCTTTTTTCGTTACGCGTCAGATGCCCGTCCATTTGTGACGGAATATTTTTCCAGCATTATTTTCACGTCTTCGGAATAAGCTTTTGTCGATCTCCCAAATGCAACTGATGCTGCCAACTTTTCTTTAGATCAAAGGAACGTTAGCCTAAAAGGGTTGTTAGTATAGAAACGGAAGTTTACGTTGAATCACTTAAATGTGATGTATCACTTTTCAAATTGTTGCCACCAAATATTATCGTCCTGTATTATATTTAAAGAAGTTAAATAACGAAGAATCTGTATGACTGTATGTTTATCGCATTGTGAAAAAACAACGATGCTTAGAGCTATCAGATTTTGAATAATAGTCCTCCACCCGACTATGGGCATCTGAAAGTCCGAATGTTGAATTTCGATTTTTTTTTTATTATCTATTTAATATTTTTTAAACTTTAATGAATTTTTGACTGAGAAACGCAACGGTATCAAAGCTTGCTGTAGCAACACACTGTAAGGAATAAAGCATTTTTATCACCAGTGCGCGAGACTGACTGTTCATCGAAATTTCTCAAAATATTCTCTTTTTAAATATTTTTAGCCCAAATGCTCTCGAAACGTGTAAATGAAAACAAAACGTCCCTTTGGGCGTAATATAAAATCTGAAAGCTTTGAGAGTTTGATTTTTATTTATTTATTTATTACTATTTACAGTTTGCTTTCGTCATTTCCAGAGGGCATATAATAATTAGTCTAGAGCGCATATAATCCTGTAGATAATTACTCCAATCAGCGACCGTTTTGTCTGCCTTTTCCTAGTTGCTTTCGGCAGAATTTAACCGAGATTAGTTCTTCATGCCAATAATAAATGAATCATATACCTCTTGTATATGTTATGTGTCTTCCTTCGAACCAAGTTTTACACGCATTTTAACACGTTTTTGACATGTGCGTATTTTCACTACCAATAAATGCCTTCTTTGTTGAAATATAACTTCACTAGATGAGAAAGACTGCAATATTGATTTTCCAGTAGTAAGGTGTATTTCTGTAAATAGCGGACTGACTCTCCGCTTCATTTTGAGAAATATTCTACGGATTCATAACTATCAAGCGTTACGTAAAAATTCACTTTTACGGTCAACAGAGAAAATAGAACTCTAATGCAACTACGCGTTGAACATTGAACTGTGGCAAAACAATTAAATGTTACTAGTCTTTTTATTTCAATTCATACCATTCGGTTAATAGGGAAGTACTAAAACGCTATTTTAAAACAAGTAGCAGCTTTGTTTTAGAATAAAACTATAAATACATATCAGTTAGTTTTTGCTTTGTCAACAAAAGAAAATTCTGGCATTTTAAGAATTTCATAACAATTAAGATAATCTGATAAATTTGATTTAAAAAAATAAGCATTAAATAAAAGTCATCAAATTTCAAATAAAAATTAAAAACTTCTTAAACAGTGCATTTTAGTTATTGATTCTAATTTATAAATTAATTCTTTATTCTACAGACTGCGCATCAAAAATGCTTGCCAGTGCATGATGTCTCTTCTGCCTTGTGTAACGGAAAAGACGGATAATGCTACGATATTCGAGCACGCCGCTCATTTTGTCGCATTCATGAGAGAAACAGTGGGAAACGAAAGCGATATGGTAAGCAACTAAATGTATTTTCGACAATTGTCACAAATGGTGTATGAAATTGAGTTCAAGAAATACTTTGAAAATTTTATTTCAGCAGCCATTATTATAAAAAAGGAAAATTTCCGTTTTTCGTCTTCTAGAAATGTCTTTACGTTAATCTTCTCAGACTTAACCGCTAGCCTGATTATCCCGAGTTATCTCGGGCTCATATTGCAGTTAATTATTATCCCGAGAAAACTCGGGCGAAGCAGAATTTGTTAGTATGATTTCTCTTATCACGGTTTTTCTCGGTCTGGAGGAAATGAAAGGAAATATTTAGCTATGATTGGCAGTTTGCCAAATTTTGTTGGTTACGCGGTTCTTTTGGAGGGACTGATCGCGTGTTTCCCTATTGTATAGTATACGTTGGCTTGTGGATTAGTAATGTATAAAGAAGGATGCATGCATTGGAAAAAAATTAAATAATGGCGATGATGGAAGATAGCGAAGCGATGATTTTTCAGACAGTAATTATGAAAAGGTGGGGAAAAAAATAAAAAAAAAATCAAATCCAACGAGACAGTGTACTCTGTGCTCCCGTGAAAGAGATTTCAGCGGTAAGCCAGTATGAAAAAAGAGACCAGATACCAGTGTAGAAAGTCAGGTATCACTCTGTGTTGTCCCTTGTTTCAAAAACTATCATACAAAGATTAATATTTAACTTTTTTTGTTTGCCCGAGATAACTCGGGATAGTAAACTAATATTAAAAATAAATGCTTTTACACCTTCAAAAACATTAAAAATTCAACTTAAAACCTACATATTTTGATTTGTTTCGTTTTGTTGTATTTAAGAATATAATAAAAAAAATGTGAGGATTTTCTGCAATTTTTTTCAAAAAAATTTGTAAGGGAAGCGGTTAAGGGTCATAACGTTACGTATACCGAACCTAAAAAGAGATGTAGAGATTTGTATATCACGTTTACTCTTTCGCTAGAATAAACTGAACTCGCGTTTTTTGTCTGTCAAAAAGGGAGACTTAGGATGTGTATTATATTTATATACATCACTGTTTTAAGAAACATATTTTGACACAAAATCTGGAATTTTGGGAAATGGCATACCGATATTTTTTTTTTCTATATTTCAAATTTTAAGACGCAAATGATGCCTAAATACCAAATTTAAAATTTGGCGAGAAACTTATGGGTTAATTTGATAATTTAACTTTGCTCATTGCGATAAGAATAATTCACTTGACAAACGTTCAGTTTACGGTAACCTATTTTACTTTCCATTTTAACCTGCACAATAGGGAAAAAAAACACATCGTATCTTCGTTCTTACGAATATATTTATGTTACATTAAATTTTTAATCACAGTGGATATTTTTAAGATATTTTTTTTTTCGAATTTTATATTAATTCTTTTAGTTGCATGATTGAATTACATGTCATTAGATAATTATCAATCATTACGTTTATTAATATAAATATCTCGAAAATTTGATTTAATTTACTTGAACTGCAATTATTTAGAAAGAATACTTTGTCATCCAGTATATGGCACATGCATTTAAAAATTGCATTTATTAAAAAAGAAAATACAGAAACACGCAATTTATACGTCTTTAGAGGCGCCATTCAGAAAGGATATATAAATGAGAAAGAAATGTAATCAATATTTTAAGTTAGGAAGAGATGCATGTATTGCTTTACAGAATTTCCCATTGCTTAATGTAATTTTATCATTATATACTGCACTATATATTAAAAATAACTGTGGCAATTCACTGAAGATTATAACAAAATTCCTAAACCACATATGACGTTATAATCGTTTTAAAAACCGCAAATTTCAAAACCCGCCAATATATTGAATAAAAATGTCGAATTTTTATAGGTATTTCTAGAAATATACCTACTTTAATATTATGTTAAATGTTTCATAGTTTATAAATCAAATGTTTATTCGAAAAATTTATAAAAATTATTTTAAAATGAATCGGAAAAAAATTCGTGTGTTTTATTTGGATTGAACCTTAATTTCGATCACGGAATAAGAAATCAAGTAAGCATAGTTAAAACAAGAGATATTATTTCATATAAACCAAATTCTTGAGGATTTCAAATTTTAAGTGCTAATTGTAAAAATAAATAAATAAATAAAATAAACCTGTTGATATGATTTTTAGAGAAATTAGCATTTTTGCATGATTTGATGCGTAGGATCCAAATATGGTATTTTGGGTCAAAGTACCTATGTTAGAAGGCCCACCAGCGGCCAAGCAGTAAAATCGCTGAACACTGGTAGTTCGAACCTGGGTTCGAATCCCACGATCGGGCTGGCTGTACGGGTGTTTTCGTGGTTTTCCGCATGTGTAATGTGTGTACGAGCCAGGTTTCCTTAGAAAGTCCACCACGAAAGCATTCCTCTTCTTAGGCAGATAGCCCTCGCATTATTTGCCGTAATTAAAGAAACGAAACCTATGTTAGAACAACACTATCTGTACACGTACTACATATATGCTGTTTTTTTTTATTTATTGTACGTTATATTACGCCATTTTTAATCCATTAGACTTGACAGATGATACCTTCGTATAAGAAGCAAATTCTTTAATTTATATTTCATTCGATCTGATAAGTAAACAATTTGCTTGTTTAAGAAATGCGTTTTAAGAGACTGAGCAACTGGAAAAGAGTAATAAATGTATTTTTATTAATAGTTTACTTCCTGCTTCCCAGCTCTCAATTTCAAACTGTTACCATAAGAAGCTAAAATCAGGTAGCAGATTATCGCTTACATTCATTCCTATAAATCATCGATAGTCTAAGGTTTTGTTTTCGTTGAATTAAGCTAACCGATTTAATATAAAAACAATTTATATCATTTTCAACTGATAGTTTTACTAATCTTTACTAATGTTATTTTAATCAATAAACGATGTTATAATGCCATATATTACTTATTTGGTTACACGAAAGTTTATTTCTTATTTCAATGGTGAAACATGTCTTTTGTGAAAATATTCTTTAATTTTAAACTGTATTCAGTCTTTCTCATTCTCTTTCTTTTGTTTTCTTTTTATTAAATGGTGATTCAATGAGCATTTTATTAATTATTATCAACGATATCTAAGAGGAAAAGATAATTTTAATTGAGCGATTAGAAGAGGTTATGGTTGTAATGTAAGCGAAGCTTTTTAAAAAATATTGGGCATTGATTACAGCAGTAACTTTTAAGATATGAAGGATACACTTGAAATAATTAGTTAATTAGATAAACGAAACACGCATGATAATAATGATGTGAATGTGTAATAATGAAAGTGCTTCCGGCAAAAAGCACTTATTACACTTAATTACACTTTAAAACACTTAAAAGCACTTTTATTACAATTGGTAACAAAAAGAATTAAAATATATATGTAATGATGTGCCTATACTTCACTTTATCTCTGGGCATTGATAATGCTACTGGAAAATGTAATATTGTTAGAATCTCAAATCTTTAATTTCAGGGTAATAAAACATATTGAAACTTCAGTAGAAGTAAAGTAAACAAAACATGATTATTTGCATTATTTCCTGAAAATATACAGTTCAGAATTTTCTTAACAGAAACCAAGTCACAGTCTTTTAAATGAAATTTGAGTTATTGCAACAAAGCTGCTCGTTTTACGTAGGACTATAAAACAACACACAGCTCTTAAGCTAATTTAGATCCAACCTATTATGCTCTGACAGCTTAACAATTGGCTCCTTGAATTCGAAGATTCATTCTCAAGAAGTCCACTCTTGAGTATCCTGCTAGAAGTCCTTTGTTAAGATTAATCTTAGAAATTGGTTTCGTCTCTTGCCACAGCTGACATCGTTTTCTCATTGCTCTCTCACAAATTTGGAATGCTCCTGTAACTCCATCACACTTCTGGTAGTGTGATTCATCTCTGGTAGCATGATGGCGACAAATGGTAGTCTTTTTCTTCTCATAGTTAGATCTAGCGGAACAGTAATTTTTCCTTCTCTCATTTAGTATGCATAAACAAATGAAATCCGAGGAAGAATTCTTTTAGAAATAAATAGTATTTTCTTTAATATTAAATTAATTAATATATCTGTTAGTTTATAAGATATGAATTTAATTTACAGTTTACATTTCAGACAGATATTCCTAAGCATATGTTTTAAACATTGATTTAATTACTAAAAACTGTAATTAACATTTCAGACTATAAATAACATATTTTAAATTAAAAATGTATTCTTCATAAGAAATGTATTTTTTATCCTTATAAAAAATTAACTTGGTTCCTTCATCTGCATTAGGGGCTTTAAAATGAACACTTGAATTTACATATCTTCATAATATCACAATATTCAAAAATATTCTCTGTAATTATTAAAACACATATTCCATTAATCAGTCGACCTTTACATTAAGGATCGAATGATTTAAACTTCATGCAAAGATCAATCGATCGTAGCATGACAGAAACAGCTCTGAACTTTTGACTTGAGATCACTGTCAGAAGGGAAGCTGACTATGATATATGCTTCTTTAGTGGGAAAAGCACAAAGAAGATGTTAGGCGATTTCCAATAATAGTTACGCAATATCTCACGTCACAGCCTCTAAAGCAGATATTGAATGTTTTCGACAAAGCTGCTTCAGTAGATGAACTGTCTGTCAGTTTAGGGATGTGGGGGTGAGATTGCTCGTTTGCTTAAGATCCTAGATTTCTTGCCATTGATTATCAAATAAATATATTTAAGCTACTTGTGGGAATATTTTTGAATATTGTGAAAGTCTTCACTTATTACACCTAAGAGAATATTTTTGAATATTGTAAAAGTCTATATAGTGCCCACCTTCAGCAGATGAAAAGATACTTTTCCGTTTCACCGGCGCAAATCTCGCCAAACAGACTTTATTGGCGACAACATACAGTATACATATAAAAAATGTTAATAAATGCTAGTTCTTATAAATTTTTATTTTGGAGGCATAGACATTTTAATATCGTTTA